TTCCAGCAACATCTGATACATCTTTTCTGAACCCTCTCCTATAACAGGGCAAACAGAACTGGACACAGTAGTCCAGAAGAGGTCTCACCAACATCCTGTGCAACTTTAACATGGTGTTCCAACAACTATACTCAAAGGTCTGAGCGATGAAGACAAACAAGCTAAATGCCTTCTTAATTGCCCTGCATTTGCTTCACATAATGGCATTACCATTTTTCAATGAAAGTTAGAAGTTTTTTTTGAATCTTTAATTTAAACACAACAACACAGCTATTGAATTACCTTGTATTATCAGATATTGGGTGAATTTCAACTCCGACACTGTTGAAGCCATGTTTTAAAAATACCCAATTGTTGTCTCCTAGGAAATCTTTTTAATTTTGGTATTCTTGGACTTTTGTAACTCTAAAAATGAGCTGTCAGGAGACTGAAGTGGCAGGCTTGCTCAGACAGAACTCGCTTGTTGTTGATCACAGTGATATGTGCGGATTGCAGCATAATACACATTTATTGGCTACCGCTCATGCTGTACAGTTACTGATTTGAGACCGGTATTTTTGTACAGACAGCAATCACTGGGATGTCATGATGAAACTTGCCAACTTCAAAAGACAGTCCTTGTAATCTTATCTGTCTTATTACATGGATTCCAAGTGACGTCAATGCATAATACATTCAGTATCATATCTGTTACTTCTCTCTATCATCAATCCAAAGGTCTCCTATTTTTGAGGCCCTGCAACTAATTAGGGTTTTTCCTTTTCTGGCTTCAAAACGATGTTCCTGGGTTTAAAAAACACAAACAATTTTAACAAAACAGCACAGGACCTGCTCTTTTTGCATGAGTTCAATTTGAGTTAAATGAATGGCTGAGGGTTGACCTTAGAGGTTTATAAAATCATGAGGGGGATGGATAGGGTAAATAGTCAAGGCCTTTTCCCTAGGGGAGGGAAGTCCAAAACTAGAGGCCATAGGTTTAAAAAGCATGCCTTTGATTGCATAATATCATTTGGATATACCTGTCCTAAGCATATATGCAATGAAACAGTTCCAACTCGTGTATATTTTTCAGACAAAGCAATGAAACAGATACACTAACTGCTGTTTTTCAGGTTTCTGAACATAAAAATGTGTGCTATAGTTCATCGCATTGCAAATCCTTTATTGACATTACGATTTTACTGCTTGCACCCTGGAATATTCTGTTATTTTGACAATATATGAATCTTCCATTTTAATAGTGGCCAAGTGTCAAATGCAGTATGTACAGTGTTTCTAAATTACTGTTCTTTGCAATAAGATTCATAGAACGTGTAAATCTTACAAGCTCAACCAATGGACAACCTTTTTTCCCCTACTACACCTGTTTTAGTTAGTTCCAATATGGTCCTTGCTGAAGCATATGTAGATCACATGACCCCAAAGTAGTAGATTCACCTAGCTCCCTGATTAATATTCCTTCCTCAACTCAACACTACTCCAGAATAAAGTCAGAGGCACCTTCAAAGTGCAAGTTACCTTCCACATGTGCCAAAACAATCCATTGTATAGCGAGAGAAGTGTCTCACAACGTCCTGAGGATAAAATATTTTGGTATGGGTCTGCTGAAATGGAAGAAACCAACAAGTGACAGAAGAATATTGATAAAGCCTCTGCTTGTAACATCAGCTTCCAGATTAAGATTATGGCAATGTACAAAGCAGAATGCAATAAAATGGCTCATTGCACCATAGTATAATGGAGTGGGAGCAATGTTTTAAGACCCCTAAGAAATATATTCTGCTCTTACCACGATGGGAAAATCTGCTTAACATAGAGTCATAGAGATGTACAGCATGGAAACAGACCCTTCGGTCAAACACATGTATGTCAACCAGATATCCTAAGTAAATCTAGTCCTGTTTGTCAACATCTGGCCTGTATCCCTCTAAACCCTTCCTATGCATACACCCATCCTGATGCCTTTTTAAATGTTGTAATTGTAACAGCCTCCACCACTTCCTCTGGCAGCTCATTCCATACACGCACCACTCCCTGTGTGAAAACGTTGCCCCTTAGATCCCTTTTAAATCTTTGTCCTCTTACCTTAAACCTATGCTGTCTAGTTTTGGACTCCCCCACCCTATCTATTCACCCTATCCATGCCCCTCATGATTTTATAAACCTGTATAAAGTCACACCTAAGCCTCTGATGCTCCAGGGAAAATAGTCCCAGCCTATTCAGCCTCTCCCTATAGATCAAACCTTCCAATCCTTGTATATCTTTTCTGAACCCTTTCAAGTTTCACAACATCCTTCCTACAGTAGGGAGATGAGAATTGCATGCAATATTCCAAAAGTGGCCTAAGCAATTGTCCTGTACAGCTGCAACATGACTTCCCAACTCCTACACTCAACGCATTGACCAATAAAAGCGAGCATACCAAACACCACCTTCACTGTCCTGTCTACCTGTACCTCCACTTTCAAAGAACTATGAGCGTGCAAACCAAGGTCTCTTTGTTCAGCACCACTCCCCAGGACCTTCCCATTCAGTGTATAATTCCTGCCCTGATTTGCCTTACCAAATTGCAGCACCTCACTTTTATCTAAATTAAACACCATCTGCCTGTCCTTGGCCCATTTGGCCCATTTGATCAAGATCCCATTGTAGTCTGAGGTAACTTTCTTAGCTGCCCACTACACCTGTCATTGTGCAGATGACACCAAAATTGGAACATTTAATTATCTTTTTTCTTACTGCAGTATAATGAATATTGGAAAGTAATTTTAATATTTTTCAATCATCAAAGTTATCCATTACATAGAGATAATTACTTTTAGTAACATTTCAAATACTCAAAGATTAAAGGAATTTATGGATAAGCTCTTAATTAAAATTTGACTTTAGAATAATGACCTGCCTTTCAAAAATCCATAACTACAACAGTAGGTGTTAATTTATACCAGACATGTAGTATTATAGAGGTAGTAGGAAGTGCAGGTGCTGGAGAATCTGAGATAACAAGGTGTAGAGCTGGATGAACACAGCAGGCCAAGCAGCATCAGAGGAGCAGGAAAGCTGATGTTTCGGGCCTAGGAACAGTTCTGAAGAAGGGTCTAGGCCTGAAATGTCAGCTTTCCTGCTCCTTGCCTGCTGTGTTCATCCAGCTCTACACCTTGTTATCTATGTTGTGTTATAGTCTCCCTTTTCCATGGCAATCCTCTGTTTTAGTGTTTGCATGATGGGCCCAATTGTTTTACATTTAAAACAGCCACTAGTGCACTACCAAACATTAACTGCTGAGGAAAAACAATTACTTAACTCTTGAAGTTGTTTGAGGTTCTTGTTTTTGTATGTGGATGGTGCTGGTGGTAGTGGAGTGGATGGTTAAGAGGTCATTCTAGTTGTTATCCTCATGTCGTTCCCCTCTACCTCTCCAGGGAAGCCATGGTTTGTGTTTTGGATTAAGCAAGGCAGCCATATTTGTGCTATTATCTCTAAGGCATCTCCAAAAGTGTTGCAAGAAGTTCCATTGCCTTTCTCCCCTTTCACGTCTACACTATGACTACTTATTTTAGGACTAGCCAACAGCAACTGTTGGAAAGCACACACATGTTTGCAGTCGGTTAAAACAGAATGGCAGGCAGAAAACATTTGTCAGTAATGGCCCTGACAAGACAATAGCAGTATGCTTTCAAGAATTAACAAGCAATTTCAACAATCTCATCTTCCTTTGTGAGGAGTGGCCAGGGACTTTTGAACAAGAGGAAATAAAAGAATTGGAAAGTCCTCTAGTGTCACTCTGAGCTGTTTATAGCAGAGCAATACAGGTTATGATTGATCACACTGGGTAGGATTTAAAGGCAAAAATTGATACAATGGTAAAAAGTAAATCTTATTTCCATCTCACAAGAGGCTTCCAATACATGTGAGAAGACAATACATACTACATAATGAGCTTGAGTGACAATCCTAAATTGATTGTTAGCAGAACTTCTCACTCTGTCCTGATTATCCAGCAAATGCTGTTCAATTGCAAAAACGTATCTGTTGTGAGTTTTGTAAGCTTGGGCTGATTTGGGTATTATCAGTCCCTTTGCTTGTTGTGAACAGGTAAAGGAGCACGCTGTTCGATTTGATCACCCGTGTTTGGGGTGTCTAAGCTTTGTACTTCGTATCCTATCAGCCCTGAAATTTATTTATTTATATTACTAATATGTGGTATTGGTGGATCATCTTATTGGCTTGACGGCAGCACCCTTTAGTGTCTAATGCCACTTGTGTTGCGACAACATCACGTGAGCCAGTTAACTTTACCTATTGCTCAGAAGTTTACGATAATGTACTCTTCCAGAAAGTCATGAGTTAATGTTTCAGGGCAGAACATTTGGTCACAACCTGTATTCATGCCCATGCTATTACTGGTTCACTTTAGTGGATTTGATAAACTGCCACTTCTGTTTCTTGGAATTGAATGTACATTGGTGAGATGAATAATGTGTTTGGGTGATTGTGTTTTGCTGAATATTATTTTTATTTTGTAATTCATCGTGATGCAAACTTCCTCATGACTCATCAGTTAAATTTACACAGCCATTCTTTGGCCAGTTTTGTCTTTTGACTCCCTTTGCTTTCGTAAAGGAACCTTGATGTAAAGACACAGTAAAAGCTATGTCCCATTCTTCTTTTTCAAATAAAATACTGCAGATGCTGGAAATCTGAAATAACAGAAAATGCAGTAGAAACTCAGCAGGCCTGGAAGTATCTCTGGAGAGAGAATCAGAATTAATATTTCAGAACTGAATTCTTCTGCAGAAGATTCACATTGGACTCAATGTTAACATTGCTCCTCTCTCCACAGGTGCTGCCAAACCTGCTAAGTTTTTCTCTAGCATTTTCTCACTTTGTTTCATTCCTTTTCAAATACTGACTAATTGTCTGTACTTGCCGATATTTGGATCTGCAGTTAATTTTCCCTATGGTCTTTTGACTTTTGCAAATTATTTTGCAATTACAGTGAACAGATTTCTTTCAAGAATGGAAAAACCACCTTTTAAACAAGTTCAGACATGTGGACCCTGGGATCTAAAGGAGCGCCTCGGAACAGGAGGCTTTGGACATGTTTATATGTACGAGCATAAGGTAAATGTTATACTCCAGTGAGAAACCTGTTTTGAAATGTACAAAGCCTTTATGAAAACTGTGTTTTTAGGAGATTTCTAAAGGAGTGTCATTCATATTTGAAACAAGAACTGTTTCTCTTTCCACAGATGCTGCCCTGACTTCCTGAGTTTGGCCAGCATTTTTGTTTGCTCTTGCTCGCTATTGTTATGGCTTATTAATCACCAATTTGTCTAACTTGAATAATCCCTGATTTTTTTCACTCCCACTTGATTGAATGTTTGGCTTCCATGGAAAAAAAGACCAGCCAACTAAGGTTAACATGTCTTTTAACTTGCAGTCAGTTCCAGTATGTTTAGGAATTTGATCTATGACACTCGTTATATCTGGGGAGCAGGTGCAATGTCAATCTTGTTGAGTCGCACATTGCGTGTAAGTGGTGAAAAACTTACTTCCAGATGCTGTAGAATCATTCTAAACAGTTACTAGCAAAAAAAGTGACCTGGGCATAATTTTAGTTCTATGACGAACAACAGTGTTCTTGTGAATAGGATGTAATTGAATCATTTCCACCTTTGGAGAGGCAAACTGGATTCTTAGATTTATAATGTTGACCCTGATGCTAAAAATAAATTAAACCATCATGGTGTCTGACTTGCATTATTCATTAGTATACTGTATAGATGTTTGTGTTCTATGGCAGCTATATTGGAAACTTAGGTTTGTTTAGAATAGATTCCAATAGCAACGGTTTGACAAATTTATTTTCTTTGTTAATTTAAATATTAAATTCCCCCTGTACCTAACTAATTCATTTGAGCGCATAAAGGAAGTTCGGTTTATGTCTCCAATTTCTTTCTCGTCACTCAACTATCTGGGAATGTAATGCACGGCTTCGTTGTGAAAAGGAGAAGGCTGAAGAAAGAAAATAATTTTTTAAAAATGGAGAAAGAAACGTTGAAACATGAGTCCTGGGTATTAGTCGAGGTGTCTGAAGGTTTGGTCAAAAATATGACCAAAATATTTTGATAAGATTCTAGAAGAAATGGAAGTGTAGGGTGGTTTATGGGGGAAGTTGAAGTGAAGTAGCAGCGAAAGGTTCTATCAAAAATAGTTGGATAAAGTCAGTTCTGGAGGGAGTGCACAAAGATCAAAGCGAGAAGATTGAATGGTGTAGGAGGACTTGGAGGAGGTTTGATATGAACTTGGGTAAGGTCATTAATGATTCTAAAGTCAAGGTCAAGGATGTCCATTTTAATGCTTCTGGAAGACAAGTAATCAGGAATTATGGTTGAATAGTGTTTATTATGAGACAAAGAGCAGACTTTTGAATAAGATAGAGTTCAGAGAGGCCAGAAAACAGGATGTGGGAAAAATTCAGTTCACGAGTTACAGATGTGCGGATGAAGATTTCAATGGCAATTAGGCCAGGGAATGATGAAAAAAAAAATATGAATAGTCTTGGTGCTGAGCATGGTACAAGATTTGAATCTCAAGCTCCTCAACTTATTAAATGCTGAAAGGAATTCTAATTTATGAGACCAGTTGATTGCACAGCTCCCCCCCCCCCCCCCCCCCCCCACCAGAACTACATATGGACCAGTTAAAAAGTCTGCTGAAAACTTCCAAAAGCATACTTAAGTATAAGTTCAAAATTTAACTCATTATGAAAAATATTTTTTATAATCTTTCTGATACTTGTAAAAGTTTTGACCAAGATAGTTTTCAGTAAACATGATCACTTTTCAGTAGCTCAGCCATGTAGATAAGGGAAAACCTACACTTAATTTCCTCCTAGCTTATGCTTGTTTGGTTTAACCTTTTGGCAGAGTGTTTAATAGGTCTTTTGTGCACCTCGGCTTAATTGTTAAAAAAAAATCCTATTCATGATTTCTGAGTCCACTTTTCGAAACATTACCATGTCAATATCTGAAGAGAATATTCTGTCTGTTCATTGATAACGCCTTCCCTGGTTTTTATCTGCTGTTGACATTCTCGGACATGCTTGTGTCATCTTCAGACTCGACTACGAGGTTTTCCTAGCCAGCCGCTCAACCTGCACTCACTTGAAACATGTCCGAGTCTGCACCAGATTCCTTTCACCTATCACCCATGTGTTGGCTGACTTATGAATTTGGGCCTCCAGTTTGTAATTTTCTTTCTTTCTGTTCAAATCCTTTTATCTTTAGCCCTCCTTATCTCTAACTTTCTGTACCCCTTTAACATTTTTCTTCCATTAATGCATTTCCTTTAACTCGAGCCTTTTCTTTGCATCACTTTGGCCCTGCTATTGGCAGTCATGCCTTCAGCTTTGGAAACACTGGACTCCAAAATACCCTTCTTGAGGCTCTTTGTTTCTTCATTCTCTTTTTTAAGATCCTTCTCAAATTAATTCTTTCACCATGATTTTAGTCACTCCTGTTATCTCCTTCAGTTTCGTGTCAATTTTTGTTTGCTTCTATTTCTATAAACTTCCTTATTCACTTACCGAGGCAAGAGTTGCTGTATGGGTATGAGTTGTTGTCTTTAATTTTGTCCAATGCATCCAGATTTTAATCCCTCTACTGCTGGCAGCAAAGCTTCAGCTGCCTTGGTCCTAAGTTCTAGAATTCCCTTCTTAACCCCCTCTCCTGTTTTTCCCCCTCCTCCTTTGACGCTCTTTAACATTTAACCTCTTGAACCAAACTTTTGGCTCCCTGTCACAATATCACTTAATGTGCCAGCCAATTCAGCAATTTTTCTGTTTTGGAATGTTTTACTATGTTAAAGCCATTTTTATAAAGTTAGTTGTTCTGTGCTTTGAGACTCAAATTCCTTTTCAAGTACAATTTTTTTTTAATGAAGTCATTGCCATCAAACAGGTTCTGTGACCATTTTATAGATTCTAAGTTTGATCTGTTGAGAACTGACGTAGATTTGGATTAACTCTTGAATTATCCCTTTGAACTATTAAATTCTCTCCTTTCTGCATTTTGACTTGTAAAGCTTCTTTGTAAGTAATAAATGTTCAATTCTATTTAGATGCCTTGTATCCTCTTTACTGTAAAGATTGTTAATCAAAAGTAATTTGAGAAGGTTTAGATGAAGAATAAACCAAATACGAATTGAAGAAAAGAAATTTCAGGTGCTGGAAATACTCTGTTTCTAGCAGAATTTTGTGGAAGGAGAAAGAGTTTCAGTCAATTGCCTTTTTTCAGAAATAATTTAATGACACTCATAAGGCTACATAATACAGATATTTTGTTCCGTCACAAAATTTTACTAAACAGTTATGATTTTACATAGATTTATTTTAATTTCAAAATGAACCTAGAAATCCAAACTTCTGTTTTAGAACACTGGAGAAAGGATTGCTGTTAAAGCCTGTCGCTTGGAGTTGAGCACAAGAAACAAAGAAAGGTGGTGCCATGAGATTCAAATTATGAAAAAGTGAGTGCAATTTTAAAAGTTTTAATCAGCAATGTGTTCAATCCAAAGAGATGAAGGTATTTTTGATCACAGTGGTAAATATTTTTGAATTGTGGTGTTTGTATATGGTGGAAAAATGTACAGCGCATAAAGCATTAGTTAAGGTT